ATTGTTAGCTCAGCTGCATGAGCGCAGCAGCACGAGTTCTGTCCAGACTCAGAGGCACTTAAGGCAAGAAATGCTGCCTATGTCTATACAGCACATAGCCTGAAATAGTCCATGCAGGCACATAGTAATTCTGCCCCCTTTATGTCGGTTCGCTGGGGTCTCTTTTTACTTGTGGAGCAGAAGAAACTAAAGGAAAGAACGGGGTAATCTCAGAATACAGGTGAAAAAAGGGTGTGGAACAGCAGGATCTGGACGGAGATGTGAGAAATAATAGAAATAAAGATGAGACTACTCTGTACGTGCAGATATTGATAAATAGAATCTAGGCAGATCAGCTAATTTTGGTGTCCAGTTCAGGTCTTCGGAATTGAATCTTTATCAGTAGTGCTTTTTAACGAGAAACTGAGGAGGAAAGGAAAGCTAGGAATGCGAGCACAGCTAAAACTCTGTAGTCATGTGTGGTTGAAGTTGGTGACACTTTCTCATTGTTTGTTTACTAATAAATTCAAATAGATTTCATTTTCATTTGGTCTACCTAGGAGTCACCCTAACTCCAGAACTTGCTAGAGCTACCTTTTTGTAGATCAGACATAGTTTTCCTTCATATATCCCTTAGCCTATTTGCCTCCTTTCCCATTACCTTGTTCTTTCCTTCCACACTGAATCAGGGATGCTGGACTTGAGAAATGCAGATGAGTGAGCCAGCTTCATTGGCTCCCCTGTGCTAGATGGGGCTAAGATAGAGACCAGTGGAAGTTATGGGGCGGGCCGAGCTTCTCATTAAGTTAGAATTTTTAGACTGAGCTTTAAGGCAAAGAAAGATGTTTGTCTTGGGCTTCAAGGGCCTTGAATGATCCCCGGATCGTTCAATGAATGAGCATTCAGTGAATCCCTTGAAGCAAAGATTCAGATCCTCTTTGTGCAAATGTCTGTTTATTAATGTATTCATTCTGCAGATACTTGAATGCCTGTTTTTGCCTGGCACTGTGTGTGTGCTTTTGTTCATGCTTCTCTTTAACAACCAATTTGACATAGTTCTTAAATTCCACCTTGCTTCCTCTTGGTTTCTTAGCACTTTGTCTTGGAGGGATGGAGTTACCTCTGCCTAGACTCCCTAGTTCCTTAAGATAGGTTCCTTGAAATTACGGTTTACTTCTACGCTCTTTCCATTCTTTGTTGCCAAGTTTCTTGGTCTGTTTGCATTTCTTGTCATTGGACTTTGTATATCTGCTTATTGTTTCTTATGCATCTTTGAATATCTGTGACATTCAGATTCCGATTCTTATATTATGACCGTGCGATGTTAGCCTCTGATCAAACCTGGATATTGTACAACTAAAAATTAGATGTAAAATAGGGAATAAGCAGAGTTGTGCAAAAGAAGTGAAATGTGAACTGATTAGTCCTGACCTCAACAGTGTTATTTTTTTCTAACTTTTTTGAAGGATTTTTACAATCACGAAGTTGAGGGAAATCCAGGTATATAGGATGGGGCATCTCCCTACCTGCCCCTCACTGGACAGTTACCTTGACCTATGTAGTGGCTTTTTTTTTTTTTTTTCAAACTGTTTTCTCTTTGACAAGTTGCCTTTCTCTCTATAGATTTTACATTTTTGCTTTTCTGTCACAAACTAAGCTTTTTTCAGTTTTTTCCATTTGAGACTCTTGCCATTAGAGTTTTTAAGATTAACATCTTGTTGATCATGTCCTAAGAGATTCAGACAACAGAATACTGATTGAACTAGAGGAGAGGCTTTTCAATTTTTGAATTCCATTGACCTGTAAAATTAAAAAGAAATCAAAGTCGAATGTAGAATTGCTATGTTGTTTTGCCAGGGAAAAAATGGATAAAATAATAATTATACTAATTATCACCATCTTCTTAATAAAAGTGAGGGTTTTATAGTTTTCTTCCCCCAATACAAAGAACATAATCTCAGACTAAAAAATAGGCCTTAAATTGAATAAATTTGGTTTTTTGAAATCTTACAACATCTTCATTTTATCACAAATGGTTTAAAAGTTCATTGATGCCTAACATTGGCCTTCCTTTGGATTAAATCACCTCTGATGTCCTCTCTAATTCTAAGATTCAGTTACTGTGAATTTGGAAACTTGCTTGGGGTTACCCCAATATTTGTAGCTCAGAAGAATGTGTTCTGGGTTTTGTTTAGTCCTGAATGTAAGTTGGGCATCTCTCAGGTCAGAGGGGATTTCCTCAGGGATAGACGAAGATGCTTCAGATGTTTAGTGGCAATAATGACTCACAGGACAGTGTTTGAGAGGACATATGGGTCAATTTTTGATGAAGGAGATGTTGAGTGTAAGGAAAAATTTGAGGTGTGTTGGAGCTTGAGCAGTAGATTGTGTAAATAGGTAACATTTATATAGTAATTTTTAAATTTTCTGATGCTGGGAAATCATTTTTGCTCGTCCTAAATAGCCTCAGATCTCTTGTTTCTAATTGACATATTCTAATGCACACGGTAGGTAGGCATTCAATAAGTAGTAGTGTCCTATATGAAAGGGCTATAAATTTATACCTCTGTGCCTGTTTGGTATTGGGCCTGGAGTGTTTGTGAAAACAATCGAACTTTCTTAAGATCAGTCTTTGGAAGATTCTTTTCAGGGTAATAAAGAGAATAAAAGTTGTCTTTCAGATGGTATTTTATAGAATTCTATTAAATTTCAAATATTTTATTATATATAACAAGGGTTTTTTTCCTTCGTATTCACTCAGTGCCTACTGTGACCAGGCTTGGGTCTGTCTCAAACCAAAAAAGCCCTTTTCTTCATGGTTGAAATTGGTAACAAACAAATATAGAAGTATTGTAGTGAGTGGGTCAGTATGCTTTGTGTTACAAACTATTTTTTACATTTCAGACTTTTTTTTGACCAGTTATTTTATTGATACTGCCTTAAAAGTAAATCCTTTTTATCATAGTTTTATCTTGGTGTCCTCCTCTAGTTTTTAGGTTGCAAAGTGTGCCTACTTTATGTCTTTTAATCTTGTCAACATCCTCATAATGTAGGCCTCTTATTTGTTTTTCAAGGTTAAATTACGTTCCCAAACTTACCAAGTAGAGGAGAAATTGGTACTCTGCTCTCGGTTGGCCATTTTTTCTGTTTCACGTGGCTTCTCAATCACCAAGTTATTTGGCTCCATTCGTATCTTAAGTGTGACCTCTTAATGTGCTTAAGTCTTGAATTTTGAGCTTCTTACGGAATATCTATTCTTATACCTCAGATTCAACAGGTCTAAAACAGTTCATAATGTTTTTCTCAAACAAACATTGTTTACATAATATCTCCACTTTTATTGGAATAGAGTAGTCGTTCTTCTGGCCCCTGATATCAAAGGCTTACAAATGGTCTTTAGTTTCTCTTTCCTCATCCTCTATCTCTTATCAGCTTCCAGGGACATAGAACTTGGTTTCAGGTGTCCATTTTACTGCTGCTATGCTGATGAACAGATTTTGTCAGTTGATTTTTGACCTGAATTTTTCCTTCTACCTTTACTCTTATTTGAACTCTAAGTATTTTTCCCCTCCTTTTCAACTTCTGTACTATTCTGAATCCCCAACATCCTGGAGTCATGTAAAATGACATCTCCGATGGGTAGTCACAGCAGTCCATCATTTTAGCCATATCTTACATGTTCAAAGTTGTTTTATGCTTTAACCTCCAGGTTAAACTTTGCCTGAACACAAGCTAAGAATCTCCAGCCTTTTCCAATCAAAACAACTTGGAATTTCTCTGAGACTAGTAGCCCATCTCCTTCACAAAGTCTTCCCAGTTAACTCCAACACAGTTGTAGCTCCTCTTTACATTCCTATGGTATTTCTCATTGGCAGCTTGTAATATTGCACCTGTGTAATGACTTGTGCCATCCTGGGTGGTTTCAGATGTGCGTCTCAGGTAGGTGGTAACAGGAGAAGGCTCCTGTGTTATCTCCTTTGTATCACTCACCCTTTTTAGTAAAGGGCATGTGGTGGACATCTGCAGTGTTCACCTACTTGACTAAAACAGTAGTATCCATGGTAACTTCTGATTGAATGTGGTAATTAAAAATGGGAGAGGCCAGTAAAATCCATAACTCCATATTCAGTTTAACTTGGAACTTTGACATTTGGATTTTGTATTCCTATAGAACCGACTGCTTATAAAGCTCCTGAGGGCAAGTAGATGGGGTATTATTATTTTTGATTTTCATATTGGACATGTTTGTGAAATAACAAAGCCTTATTTTATAAGTGGGCAGCCTGAAGCTGAGTGACTAATCCAAGGTCACTTGAGTTTGACATAGCTATAACTATAATTCAACTGGCTCTGGTCCTCACCTAATGCATTTTCACTCAGATGTTAGAACATGTTGCCACTTGACTGAATTGCTGAGTCAAAGTGCTGCCCTCTCAAACCAGCAAGTAAGGGCAGTGTTAGGAAGAACAGTAAAAGAGAGGTCACACATGGCAGTAGTAAAAGACATGGGAATGTTAGAAATGCCCCCCCCCCCCCCCCGCTGTTTTAGCCCCTTACTCTGACAGTGTTTGTTGATTGTTGATAGCATTCTTTAAAATCAGATTGATCTTGCATAAGACATGTTTTTACCCTGGTCTCTTTCCTGGTGATAGTCACTGTCAGGGACAAAAAGTGCCTGATTGTGTTCTGTTTGTCATGTAGGTGGGAGGGAAAGGAGGAGGGTGAGCTGAGTGAACTGAAGCAGTGCTTTTTACAGCTCTATTGTTCTACTATCAGAGAGCAATTATACTCCAACTTCCATCAACCTCTCCACCTCAGACAGCACAGCCTCCTCATGCCAGTGCTTCCCCACATGCTTAACCTTAGCCATGCAACCCAGGTGGGGTGGGAGGGAGGTCGGGAAAGGGGCGACTGGCAATCCCTTCTTCTGCCCTCTAATAGATTCACTGCTTTGCTTTTTCACAGCTAATCCTTTAGTCAAATGGGGCGTTTCTGGCTTTTCTAGATGTTTCCTTTCCAGCTCTAGGAAACCAGCAATGTAAGTGAACTTATATTGGGTACTATGCTAATGGATTCCATGGCATTATTACATTGTTGTCTGTAAGTGTTCTGTGACTGGAATCAGTATGAGGTTTTTAATCTCATTCAGTACTTCATGTTCATTTCTTCAGGTCTCTACACTGCAAGCTTAATCTACATTCTTAAATGTCAATGGGTTTGTTAATTTTTTTAAGCTGTATTTATTTGGCAATTCTGACCATCTGTTTATAGATTACAATCTACTGGCAATGTACCTAATAAAAATTTAAATTCTAAACATTTGAAAATTTGCAGAGCATGTCTCTTTGCCTTTAGTTAATTACAAAAACTGAAACCACAGTTGCCACAAACATGTTCCCAGTGGAGAAAGCCCTCTCTACTTTTACAACCTTCAAGTCATATGGTGGTTATTTGGGTGAGATGAAGGTGGTGAGAGAACTTTGTTGGGAAACTTAGAGTGACATAGCAAGTATTAGTTACAGTATTAGTTAGACTGAACCTCTACTCCTGAACTTACATATGGGAACAGTGTTAGCAAGATAACAGGCTTCTGAATGCAAGTTTAGCTAGGAAGACAACAGAGAAAATAAAAAAGATAGTTTAATGGAGAAACTTCAAAGCAGTATACCATGGATGGTGACTTTGAAAACAACATCTGCTGATGTGAACTTGGCAGAAATTTGTGAGTAATTGTGGGTGACTCATTGCAGGAAGAGGAGTCTTGCAATTTTTGAGGTGAACAGGCAGAGGGGAGAGTAGTGATGGTGGTCATCTAGGGCCTAGTGTTTGTGTCCTGTATGTGAAAATGACTTGTCCCCTGCTAAATTTTGCAGCTACATCATTCACATGAATTATTGCATTATTTCCACCAGAAAAACCTAAAAACATAAACAACCCAGTTTTTTGGAGTGTTTGTTCTCAATCTGAGCTGATTGTCCTAGGGTAGGAGGTAAGTGGGTGGTGGGCACATTACATCACTGTTTTTTTTTTTTTTTTTTTTGGATTATACATAGCTCCCTTTCACCCCTACTGCTGGAGATGTTGTCATTCTGATGTACCTACTCCTATTAAAAGAACTTGCATGAATTGACACGTGAAGAGGTTTGCTTGTGTATAAGTTGAAAAATTGTTTGGATCATTCTCATTCTCTGTACCTGTCCACTGGAAATCTCTGTTCCCAAACAAATAATGTGCATCTAAAGAAACTCTTCCTCATTTCCAAAATGTCATTAAAATTTTCACAGTAGGTTTAAATTTCTTCTTGATAATGAAGTCTTGACTGTTTGAGGGGACACTGCCCTTGTTAGAGTTATTTTCTTCTTCTCTAAGAATTCAGTTATTGTCGGTAATGTATTCTTAGGCAGAGTTTGAAAGTCACTTTCTCTGAGAAGCCAACGTGCCCACGGTTGGGAATTTTTACCAGTCAGTCATTGAAGGCAGGCAGGCTTTGGGGTTATCTGAAGCATAGCACCCCAGTCTACTGGGATCTAAGCTCTTGAGACTGTTCTAGAGTACTCTTTTGATGGCTATGGCTATTGGCTAATTTTAAGTCTGTTATGGAGTGTAGAGAGTTGGGGAGACACTTAAAAGGAAAGAACCTTTAGACAATATCTCCTCCAGATCTTTTAAAGAAGACAGCTCTCAGAATGAGAGGCTTTTCTGGCAAAGGCTAGCTCTTTGCTTCAGAAGTGAAGCGGGGACCTCTAGCTTTGTTTTTACTGGGCCAACCTCTACCTCCCTGTTAGCTGCTTCGTAGTATATGTCATTCTTCACATCCACAGTCTTAGACATGATGTATTATTTCTTTCTATTCACATCAGCTTCGGGATGACCATGTAACATAAAATGGAAGATTATGGACAAGACTTCAGTGTGAAAATGTAGACATGTGTGTCAGAGCACTGTGTGAGTGGCTCTCAGTGCAGAGACACTTTCAAAAACTCAGTGTTATTTCTGACTTAGTCCTTTAAAGCCTCTGAATAAAGCATCTACACTTTCTTTGTTTTGCAGAGTTTCTGTATTATGCTAGGAAAAACAACTGAAAATAATTTTTAAGAAAGTACCAATATGGAGGTTGTATGATAGCCCTCTTAATTCTCTAATGTAAGAAGTTTTAATTCTTAATTTCTTTTTTTTTAAGATTTATTTATTTATGCTACAGAACTGGGGTACAGGCCAGAGGTGCAGGGGTAGTAAGAGGATTCACCAGGAACAGAACAGGCAGATCAACGAAGTACACTGCTGAGGGGGGCAGCGGGCGGGTCAGGAGAGGTCTGCCGCGCCATCTGGGTCACCTCCAGGGCTGGGGATTGAATTCGCACTGAAGAGGTTACAGATAGCTTATAGTGCTCACCAGGGAGGGCCCAGTTCTTAATTTCTTAAGCAGGTACACCTGTGGAAAGATACTCTTTCCAGAGCAAAAGTGCTTTTCCTTTCATTCTGAACATTGGATAGCTTTCTGTGATAGTTTTGCCAATCTATATGATATGTTCTCTCTCTTTTAAAATGTTATTAAGCCAGAAGCAGAAAATAAACATTAACTCATGGTATATATGGACACTCCATGTTACATGATCAGAAAGCCAGTGTAGGTTGCATATACATAATTTTCCTTACTTTTTTTTTTGAAAGTACATTCTAAAATGACATTTATGAGAATGTCTCATAAAGTGTTTCACCAGTCCCCCCAATCAGGTCTGGATTTTCTTTTACCTTTTGGTTTCTAGACTTACTAACTAAACTAGTTCTTTTCCTTAGGTCACACCCCCTAACCTTCCTGTTGTCGTAGCTGTGGGCTTGCCCACTGGGGCCAGTGCTTTACACTGATTCATTTGGAACACCCCTTTAAAATAGCTCAAGTGTTGGGGAAGCAGGACTGATGTCCACTTACAGTATGCGAGCCCTTGAAGAGTCAGGTGCCAACTGATGTTGCTTCTGAACGATTAGGAAATAAGCAGGCGTAACTTCTGTGGTTAATGCTGAAGGTTACCTTAATGTCCAAGCACCTCAGTTTCATGATTAAGGTACAATCTTTGTAATCAGTAATCCCTAAATTTCTATATCCCTGTACATTCTTCTCTCCAACTCTAGATCAGTATTAATCTGCTGCTTTAACATCTTCACCTGGTCTGCTATCTCTCAATCAACATAGGTTAAAAACTGATCTTCCTACCACACCAGTTCTATGGACAGACTTCCCCATCTGAAATAGAAACTTAAACCTTTCAGTTGCTTTGGCAAAAACTTGAATTTATCCTACTGTCTTTGAGGTACTTCAGGCATTCTGTCAACAAATTTTGTTGGCACTTCCTTTAAAATATATCGAGAACCCAGCTACTTCACATCACACTGTTCCTACCTCTGCTACTACTACTCGGCTCTCCTGCTGCACTACTCTCCTAAATAGCTTCCCTCTTTCATCTTTGACCCAGATAGACTGTTCACGACTTGCAGCTAAAGTGATCCTTTGAAAACCTGAGTTGATCGACTCTCTTCTACAGTGCTTCCCTGTTTCCCTGAGGGTAAAAGCCGAAGTCCTTACTGTGGCCTCCCAGGCCCACGTGACCTGCACTCCCCTCTCCCCAACCCAGCCCTGGTCTCAGTTCCGGAAACACACATACTGGCCTTTGCCACCGTTCTTCCATTACGGCCTTCTCTTGCTTCCTGGTCCCAGTTCGGTTCTCAATATTCATCAGCTGGCCCTGAGCACACAAGTTGGATCAGTCTGTCACCGTCACCCCATATTGCTGCCCTTTTTCTTTTTTCCATAGTTTGTTTTATCTCCTAATGTACCACATCCTTTACACATTGCTGTGTTTATTGTCCCTCCCCCACACCACCTTTCCCATTAGACTCTTAAGCTCTGTTGAGGACAGGGGTCTTTGTTTTCTTCATTGATGTATTTATTCCAAGTGCCTAGAATAGTGGTTGGTTCATAACGGGCATGCAAAAATATTTGGTGAATGAATTCGTGGATTACATTTAAAAAATGAATTATCCTTTTAGAAATGGATCAGGAACGGAAAAGGTGTGAAGAGAAATGTAGCAATAGGTAGTACTTATATTCTTGATATAGCTACAAGCATAATTCTTTTTTTTTTTTTTAGATTTATTTATTCATACACAACTGGGGTACAGGCCAGAGATGCGGAGGGTGAGAGGATTCACCAGGGACAGAGTGGGGAGCAGAACAGGCAGATCGATGAAGTACACTGCTGAGGGGAGCAGCGGGAGGGCCAGGAGAGGTCTGCCACGCCATGTGGATCTCCTCCCGGGCAGGCGGGAATCGAACTCATGCTGAAGTGGCTTAGGTCTTTCAGTGCAGTGCTTTAACCTGCTGCGCCACCAGGGAGGGCCTTAATTCTTTAAAATTTATTAATTTTATTTGTGTTTAATTTACATGCCATAAATCCACCCATTATAGTTGTATAAATTAATGATTTTTAAAGCAAATTTCTTGAGTATCAGTATTCTCTTCAACAAGTTCTCCCCTGTCCATTATACTTATCTCCTCCATGATACTTTGACTTTATTTTTTGACTCTCAAATCTCAAAGATTCACCCAGCAGAACTAACATAACCACAGGCTTAGGAAACTGTAAGTTACCCATTGCTTACTGTGGGAAGTGGTATTGGATACTAGTGAAAGGGGCTGGAGAGTCAGACTAACTGCACTCTTATGTATGCCTGCCACTTACCATGTTACCTAAATTATTTTTTGCCTCACTCTTCATCTGTTAAATGAAGATAATAATAGTAATTAGCTCACAGAGTTGTTATGAAGATGAAACAAATAATGAAAGAAAAATACTTAGCACAGTGGCCGTCATAAAGTAAATACTCAGTACATTTAGCTGACATTATTACTTTCTCTCTTATGTGATAAATAGTTTTGCAAGTAGAAAGCAAAATTTATATCAGGTTCTAAGTCTCTGAAGTTTGTGTAAAATCTGATCCTCTTCTTGTCTTGGTTTGTAAATAATGTATGACTATAGTAGATTGTGAAAGCAATCTTCTCTCCATGAGAGAAGATCATTTGAAGGTATCTGCTAAGCCACTTTCACTGAATTTTCTATGCTCATCTTTGACAGAACTTTGACATCTGGTAGGTAATGACCCACTTTTTTGGTTAAAATCATAGTGGGCATCAGAAAATATTCTCAATTGTGTCTCTTCTTATATTGAGATCATGTAACCCTTCCTCCAAATGGATGGGGATGGGCGCATCACTGTATCTCTCCAGACTGAACTAAGTTTTCTTTATTAAGGACTTTTTCTGTTTTCTCCCCACCCCCCCTTTTTATGTACAGATGCACAAAGCAGGGTCATCAGAAACCTCTCGATTCAAAAGATGATAATACTGAAAAACACTGCCCAGTGACAGTGAATCCTTGGCATATGAAGAAAGCTTTTAAAGTCATGAATGAATTAAGAAGGTATGATCACATTAATATTTATGTAACCACGGGTCTCTTCCTTTTGTTTTTTATTTAAAATTGAATATATCCCCTTTCCATCCTCCCTCCCCCCATTACTTCTTTGCTTGATATGAAGGCCATTCTGCAAGGTGTTTAGAAGAAGGTATGAATGGTAAGTTAGGCCACTCTGCCCAGTGTGGTGGCCACTCGCCACCTGTGACTAGCCATGTGGAGGTTATAAGTGGAAGCTACAAAATGGATTTCCAAGACTTATCACCAAAAAAGCTTTAATATATTTTCAGTTTAATTAATAATATATTAATTTTATTTTAATCAGCACCTGTAAAGTTTTATGAATACATTTTAATGCATTTAATTTAATTTTCTTATATATGAATACATTTAAAAATACTGATTACCTTTTGAAATGATGATATATTTATCACTGGGGTTGAATAGAGTATGTTATTGAAACTAGTTTCACTTGTTTTGATGTTTCACTATGCTTGCTAGAAAATTGTGACTTTGCCTTTCTATTGGACAACACTAGTTTATGTTTTCAAACTTCTCAACTCATAGAATATGGAAAGAAAACTTAAGAGAGAAATATAACTCTTTGGTGGTGATAGTTGTAGTTTTGAGTAGAGCTTTGCCATTGCTAAGGTAGTTCTCAAGTATGTGAGACTTACTACATGAAAAGTATTTGAAAATGAATATCTTCATTTTTAATTGAAAGATTAATGCATGTATTGCTGGTGTTGGCTTTATTTTCTTTCTATTTTGTTGAAGACATGTATTCTCCCCCCATAATTCACTTTGTGAAAATACTCTACATGTATTTGAAAGCTTGGACTAACAAGAAGGGAATGACAAACTTTTTCATAACTTCTATGCTCTGTCTTCCTCAAAAGCCTACCCTTTAGGCCCATCATTTGTTTGTGTCTTTATTTAAACTAAAGATTCAATAAATACTCACCAGCTGGGTGCTGGGCATACACTGGGAGTGAAACCAAATATGGGACCAAGGCTGGTGCAGGACACCAGATTAATCCAAGAGTCAGTCACACATGATAACTCACAGTAAATCTTAATGGCAGTCAGCACTACAAAGGGTGGCCACCTGGTGCTGTGAAGGTGACTAGCGTTGGTTAGGGAGGCTTCCTGAGAAGAGAGAAGTACTTGTGCTGAGATCTGAAATGGAAAATAGAGACCAGGTGAAGTCAGACCTGGAATGGTAGTGAGCAGGTCTTGGGCCTCACCACTGGCCTTCTTGGAGGACCTGAGGGTTTGCTGACAGCCAGGAGATGGCCTTCAGGTCAGGAGAGGAGGCTGAGTGGGGAGTGAGGGTGCGTTTGGTGCCTTGGGTTTTAACTTTGGTCTTTATCTGGAGTTGTCAGGGAGGAAGCTATTGGCAAGTTTTAAGCAGAGATATGACATGATCAGCTTTATATTTTAAAGAGAACACACTACTTAGGGGTTGGAGAGTAGATTGTACAGGGATGAGAGAACAATAAACTGCATGTTGGATATTTGATTTACTTCCTAGCCCTGATCTCACAACATTTTCAGTAAGTGGGTGTTCATTTATTCGTGGGGGAGAATGTATAGCCAGTATAATCCTGCCAGTCTGGTGGAAACAGCGGGGTGGGGAGGACGCCGGTTCAGTTTTTAATCCCCTCGCAACAGTAGTTATTAGAATGTAAAATGCAGTGGTTACTAAGTGGAACAGACAGGAAAAGGAAGAAAGAGTCTGGTTATTTTAAGTCTGAGATCTTTAATGGCTTTTCTTTGTCTTTGAAAAGTCTAGACAGACTGACTTCCAATAAGCCTGTTCACATGTTCTGCCCCATTCCTGTGGGGTGTCTAACTCGGGCCTTTCTTGGGGGCTGGGCGTGGGTCTGTGGTGACACAGGCAGGACTCCCTAGACTGCAGGGAGGGGGGACACTTGGAACTCCTTTCCCTCAAGCTTATGGCCCAGGTTTGGGGACAAACTGGCCAATGGCCTGTCATTTTGCTTCTTTATACCTTAGCCCTAAAGTAGAAGGAGTGGATGGGCTGGAGTTTGAGATGTTGCCGCTCTGACATTCTGAGCTTCTGAGACCTTGTTTTCCTCAACTGCTCTTTTCATGGGGTACCCCTTGATTTACCCTGGGGTACTTGGCTGTAGCCCTAATTAATGTCTGTGGCTTGGGGTGTGAACTGTATAGCTTTGAAATAGTACCTTTGTTGCATTGCATCACTGCCAGGAGGTAGCATGTCACTAGGCTGGTCCTTGTGCTGATTTTCAGAAGAATGGCCTTTGGGTGGCTGGCGAGCATCCATAAGCAGGTTTGCTGTAGTGAAGCCACCAGCCAATAGTGTTTTAAAAAATATGAACTGTCTGCGAAGTTCTTCAGAATCATTTTTTGTTTGCTTTATGAGGTTTTATTTTTAATGCGATTCTGTTTTTTCTTATCCTTATAGCCAATTTGAGTTAAAAAAAAAAAAATCTGAAGACGTCTGTTTCTTGTCCAGCTGAAAGTCATTTAGTTTCCTGTCCTTGCATCAGCTTCCTGCTGCCAGAAAAGGGCAGTTGAGAGTGTTTTCCTGACTTCTGGGAAGGGAGAACTTCCTTGTTCTCACCACCCTGCTCTTGGACTCACCTCTCTAGTACACTAGAACATTTTTATGACATTTTAGCTGATCAAAGTGTAATTGTAGGAATAGAAGTCACTTTTCATCTAACTGTAGTCAGTGTAAGGTGTGATGGGGTAGGGATGGGAGAACAAGAGTTTAAGGTTTAAGTTATATATTTTAACTTGTTTATGTAAGAGGAATGTGACACTTTCTTTAAACTTTTTTTTTTATTGTTGTTTTTAGATAATAGGCCCAGGTAGAGCTGTTTCCCAGCCCAATCTTAAACTTGAACAGCTTAAAATTATTTGTCACTTCTAAACAATATTCAATAAGCATTTGTAAGCACCTGGTTCTCCTTAGAAATCAGCTACATGCCCAAAAGGGCTCCATGGGGCCAAAAAAACAATTTCAGACTTGGCCCATGCTTTTGGAGTGTCCAAGGTCTGCAGGAAATGTGCAGAGAAAGGATGAGGTAGAAGGTTATGTATAAGATGTGGAAACTGGAAAGGATTCTCACAGAAATCCTTGCCAGCAGAGGTGGTTGCAGCTCGGTCTTTAGTGCGGTAGGATTCACACAAAGCTTGGGAGAGGTAAGACAGCTTCTGGCTAGTTCCAGAGGCCAGCGAGGGGACAGAGTATGCTGGGTTAGGAGCCATGAGTTCACGCTGGTGAGTCTGTGCATGTGAGGTCAGGAAGTGAAAGAAAGATGGAACTGTGGCAGGTTTCAGTAGTATGATGAATTTGGATTAATCCTGTGGGCAGTGGGAATCAGTGCAGGTTTTTGAGAAAGGAGATAGTATAGTGAGATTCATGATGTTGGAGGAACAATCTGGCAGTGTTGTAAAAGGTCTAGTTCTGCAACACTCTGCTAGTGGGAAAATCAGCCCTTTAAATTTCCCACGCATGGGTTGGCAGGGGGAGGAGTTTTTCAAAACATTAACATTTTTGGAGTCCAACCAGTAGATCTTTACATAGTGCTTATTTTGTGCTGTATTGGGTCCGTGGAGGAGACAAGCATATGAAGTCCCAGACACAAATTTTAAGAAGAATTAAGAAATTGTGAACTTCTTGAGACAATCAAAAAATTCAAATTACAGTGAGGAATGAAGGTTTAGAAGGAAGATAATTTGACCCTTAAGTTATATTTTGGAGTTGAAAGTTTTTACTAAGGATAAATTATATGAAACAATTCAGATATTCACCTGTACATCAGACAGAAGCCATAAATATTTAATTGTTCCATTACAATAGCAGTTTTTTCTTCAGTGGCACTTGCTGTATTTCCCCCCTGAACTTTTAGACAGCAAACTCAGCTCTATGCTAGGTGTAAATTAGTTTGTGCCTCTATGAAAATTTTGAATTACTGCTCTTTGGTTTTTTGTACTTTGTTGCTTAGATGGAAAGTGAATTAAACAAACTTAATGATTCTGCCATTCTCATAGTTTTCTATCACTGTTTTTAATAGAAATTTTAGTAAATAACATAGGATGTGAATTTTTGAAAAATCACTCCTCTGTGTGTGTGTGTGTGTATTTTTCTCCCCCTGTTGTAAAACATTGTCAGGTTCTTTTCATGTTGTACTGGAATAAGAAGATAGAACCTTCCTGAAGGATGAAGCATTTGAGAAGTACCCCCAAATCAAGCAGACTTGTTTATTTAAGTTCATTTAGAGGCCTTTTCAAGTTTACAGTCTCTTTTAAGTGGTTAACTACACTTTAGCACGTGTGATTGATTTCTCCTTAAGTGGCGTTTATTGAGCATGGACAGAAATACTAGACATTCCATAAAGTGGGAAGGATGGATAGTAGTAAATGAATTTACTAGCCTAGTCTCTGCTCCCTCATCTCCATTGCTGAACTCCCACTGTGTGATTCTGTGCCGCTTCAGACTTCACCTTCCGAGTCTCCTCTTAAATCAGAAATGAGGCAATCTCACTGAGGTAAAAAACAAAACAAAAAACAGAGTCATGAGGAAGCTTCCTTTGAACATACTTAGTTTTCACCGTATTTGCATTTTGCACCATGTACAAATCATCAGGCATTTCATCCGCACGCTCAGAAACTTGCCTCTGGTGCTGTTTGCCCTCTGAAGCCCTTTAACTTCCTCATTCTCTAATGTATCCTCTTCCGACCGTCTTTACTCTGTCTCTAATAATGTCTTTCATTTCACTTCAACTATTTTTTTTTTTTTTCATTTTCTAAACTGTGTTTTCCTTCAAGCCCCTCAGATCTGGAGATGTTACCTTCCCTTCCCTGCAGACATTCAGTAACATGCCTTCCTCAATGACTTCTTATGACTGTTTTGTTATCTTCACTCTCATTTTGCTGTCTCAATTCTATTGGAAAGGAATGATAGATTCTCTATTCTGGGACCCTTTATTACTCGTAGCTATTGCTATAACTTTCCAAGTTGACTGTCACTGCTTCCTGCTTAAAATCGTGGTAGGTGCAGATCTGTTGAGAGGGCTGTGCTATTTTTCAGGACTCCTAACTGTGGTGGTGCATTTTACTAAGTTCAACATCTAGGTTTCCCCTATACTTAACAGAGATTCAATTCAAACTACCGTGATTTTAAGAAGACAAGGAAGACAGCAGTGACACTTGTCATGGAGGGCTAGTCAGCAGTGCTGTCAGTTACAGGAGGCTTAGTTAAATATGACTAATTTAAGTCAGCAATCAGGAAGCCTTTCACCTTTAGAACAGCTTGGCTCCCACCCTCCTTCCCTCCTGCGGGGGAGCTAACATGCAGTGACGCAGGCCTAATGAACACCCCTGGCTCACCCCAGCTTCCTGACCAGTTTTTAATTTTCTCAGCTTCTGAACTTCTTTTGCCTTCCTTGAACTTCTTTGTCCTTCTGTTCCCTGCATGACTTTGCATGCATTCCTGGGGTGTAGTGGACTCTGGCTCATGGTGCAAGCTACCAGCCTGGCATCTTTTTTGTTATTGTGATTCTGCTTCACGTTGCAGGAAGCATCTACAGATTTCTCTGGCACTTGAGGATGAAAGACAGACAGGTTGGCATTAATCTCCCCACCACCCGTACTTCCAGTAGAAAATAAATTCTTATTTATGGGACTACTAGTTATTTTGATATCTCAGAGCCTGATGGCAACCTTGACTTGGAGGAGACATAGACGCAATAGAGATAGGTGTTTCTAGTCTTAGGAACTCATTCCTATTCCATCAGAACACCGGAGAGTGTACTGGTATGAGCAGGTCTGCTTCATTCTTTTTCACAGCAGTCCTGGGAAGGACCTGTTTGCATGAAGTTTCACTTAGGAGATGGTGAATGGTTCTTTTTCCCACACCATTTGAGTTCTTCATAAGGCATGTAACTTCTGTTCTTCTCCACATTTGAACTTAGAAGTGACTTTTCAAAGTTTTCCTGTAAGGTATGTATTCCCAGATACCCTGTTCTTGACCATCTTAGTAGGCATGAATTTATTTTGTAATTATCTGTTAGCTTCTGCATTTCCCCTACTCAGCTATAAGCCTCCTGCTGTCATGAACATTATCTTATTGATGATGTTACTTTGGCATAGTGCTTGGTGCCCAGAAGCACTCTGGGTATTTGAAGAATGAGGGAATAAATGCAACTTTTGATAAATAGCAATTGTATTGATTCTGCTATTCTGAAATTTTTTCATTCGACAATTCATTCCTTCCTTAAATTTCAAATAATAGGGACATAAACTCAAAAACTCACCATCCAAAACTGGGTATAGACTGCAAAAACAAGTTTCTCTTACTTTTATTGCCAGTTATTTTCATTTTACCCTCTTCCTTACCCAAAACTCACCTAACCTCTGGTGAATGTGAATATTTGAAAAGAGATGAGGACCAGACTCGGTATACACACAGATTCATTGGATGAAAGATAAAAAGGTTGGTCAGGTATCTCTTGTCTGTGAGTGCTGTTTTAAAATGTGTTATTGCTAGAGACAGATTAAAATATTGAACACCAAAACCAAACATGTCCTCGACTTTCTTATGTGGCCCTTAGGTTCCTTGTGACCTAGTCCAGGAGGTAGCTGTATACGACCTGGGCGGCATTACTAGTTAACATCAGCTATTCAGCCAACAAGGCCAATTTAATTGTGTAAGTGACAATCAGCAGGTGTTATGTTAGGTGGTTTGCATCAGTAGTAATTGTAATTGAAACCGAATGTAATTAATTATGTGATTTTTGAGGTGTTCAAGTGTAATCCCACTTAAGTTCCATCTTGAAACCAGAGCACTGAGGATGACTGACAGAAGGGAAATCCGCATTAAGGTGCACTTGACTCGGGTTGAGTGTGTCTGGTTTCCCTGGTCACCGTAGCCCTGGATGGCCTTGTTCTTGAGAGACTGTGTGACTTTGCTGGATCCCCCTTCATCCCTCCTTCTCTCTCTGTTCTTACCCAGCAGTTCCCCATTGTGCCCTGCTGCTTCAGGTCTCTGCACAGCGGCACATGCTGTTCTCTCTGGAGTTCTCCTCCTCCATCCAGCCACTCTTACTTGTTTTTAGAAGTCAGCTGAAGGTCAGTAGCTGCAGGAAGCCTTTTCTGACCCCAGTCTGCCTCGGATGCTCCCTGTTCCCATGACATCCTTACTATGGTGCTCGCACGTGTTCCTGTAATCCTTGCATTTTCTGTTCCCTCTCCTAGTCTCCTTCAGGGCAGAGATGATCTTGCAGTACTTTGTTTTTACAAGTGAATCAATTTTGTTTTATTTTTTCCTAAGTGTTCTAACTAATGCTAAAACATCACTAAAGTCAGACATTTAATAAATGATTATAGATGTCAGCAATAGTTTATAGTAGATAATACGTTGAAAGTTTAACTGGCATTATTTAATAAGTTATACTTTATATTTCTTGCTTTAGTCAAGTGCTGACAAATCTTAAAACTACAGGTGGCTTTGTGTAATGACTTTGGAGCCAGATTAGGGATTCGGATCCTTGCGTTGCACTAGTGGGGACTTTTGCCTGGTTGTTCATCTTTCACTTTGGCTTCCTCAGCTATACATTTTGGGCTAAAAAATCACAGTCACACATGCATATGCAGGTCAAGCTCTTGCATAGTATGATCCTGACAACTGACTTTCCCATCCTGGTTATTTATAAAGCTAGAATTTGTAGAATTCCAGAGTGGTTTTATAGCCTAAAACTGACTTTGTAAATTTTTGTCGCTGATCTGGTGCAATGCAAGTTAGTGACATTGTGTCACCTATTCTGGCTCTACTGGCCTGATGCCTCATAGGGCGTCGTGAGCCGTCCATGGGCACCGCCCAGGAGCCCTGCTTCTTGCTACAGGGCGTACAGGGAGATCCTGGGGTGTAGTCATCACTGGGGCCACTTACTCCCCCTTAGAGTTGATCTGAGACCAGAGGGCAAATAAATGCCAGTGGATTTTGATGTGACCACCACAGAAACGAGTTTGTATACAGTGTAGGAAAGTGGAAACCATGGTTAAGCTTGTGGGAACATGTTGCTTGTAAGTGCCTAGAACATTGAGGGTGGTAAGCAGCAACACTTACCAGAAATGGAGCAGTGGAGGACAGTGCCAAGGGAGACCCAGGTGGGCTACATGCACAAGAAATTCAGAGCTGGGCTCTATGAGGTGAGCAACAGCTTTTGTTGTTCTTCGCCGGCTTCAGTCACTGTGATTCAGTGGATCTTGACACGCCTACCAGCAAGATGGGGTTTAGAGTTCAAGTCTCTTGCTTATTTGGATATTAGTGTTGTCAGCACTTTTTTTTAAAAAAGAATTAAATATTTATTTGTGCATACAGAACTGGGGTACAGGCCAGAGGCTCAGGGGCGGTGAGAGGCTTCACCAGAGACAAGAGTGGGGAGCAGAAAAGGTAGATGGACGAAGTACACTGCTGAGGGGAGCAGCGGGCGGGTCAGGAGAGGTCTGCCATGCCATGTTGTCACCTCCGGGGCAGGTGGGGGTCGAACTCATGCGGAAGTGGCTTTAGCTTCTCAGTGTTGTGCTTTAACCTGCTGCGCCACCAGGGAGGGCCAGCACTTTTTTTTTTTTTTTTTTAACTGAAAAGGCATTCTGTGACATTCTAAAAAACTGAAGTCTCATCTAGCAGTTTTTACAAAAAATAAAAAGTGCTTATCACATGTTTTTGAATGAATTAAACTAGATAACTTAGAATTAGAGATATAATTATATTTACTAAATAGTGGATTGTTTTCAGGTAACAGATTGTTTTTAAATATTCTGATAACATTCTGGTAATATTCTGATGTCAAGGAATGAGTTCACTACCGTGGTAAAGTGTTTTTATTAGCTTAACTTCAAATGTTTAAATACCTTTTGAACAGCCAGTGCCATTGACTATAATTTTACTTTTGCCTGATGACCCAGCGTAATTATGAATGTACATACATATCTTGGTCCCTTCACCCAATTTAGTATTTTACATGTGTTTTACTTTGTCTTCTTCCTAATGTCAGACAGCCACCTGCCACTTTTATCTGTTGAAATTTTTCCCCTTCTGCCACTACTGTCCCCATAGTTCTCCTACCGCTGTGCCACCCATGCACCATCACTGTACCCCTGTGTTCAGGGGTTTGCCCCTGTGCTCCCCTGGTTTGCCCCCCACCCCCAGCCCCTCCTCCGCTGTCTGCCTCAGTTCTATGGTCAGCTGCTCGTTTTGACTTTTTTTCCTGAGCTTTTGTTTGGTTTCCTATACTCCACGTGTGAGCGAGTCCATCGCTCTTTACCTTTTCCTTCTGGCTGATTTCGGCTAGCGTAATTCCAGCTCCATCCTTGTTGCTGCAGTTGGCTGAACCACTTCCTTGGATGCTGTTGTTAATTCACTGATCGCTCACACATCTTATCAGTGATTTGCTGCCAGTAATTTCCTGTAGGTTGAGGAATCAGTAATCAAGTTTGGAACGATTTCTCTTTTAAATTCGTGGACCTTCTGAACTGAGGGTCCATGACATGTTAGGCTTTGTCACAACTATTTTGTATGTACTTTGCCAGGTATTTTCTGTGTACTTCATGTTTGGGAACCCTGATGGCATTTGTTAATCTCTGCTGCAGAAAAGTGGGCTTTTGCTGTGATATTTTTGAATTGAATATATTATCTGTATTATTAAATTTTTGAATTGAATAACGTTTATTAGTAGTAGTATTAAATTTTTTTTCTGTCCTGTGTACAGTCAAAATTTGCTGTGCGATGTCACAATTGTGGCAGAAGACATGGAAATCTCTGCACATAGAGTGGTACTGGCTGCCTGTAGTCCTTACTTTCACGCCATGTTTACAGGTATGGACTATTTTAGTTTTGGGTATTTTCAGAATGTATATAGAACGAAGCTTTGCTTTCCATGTTTTCTTTGCTTTTAACATTTTACTTTTCTGAAAATTTGTAATTGAATAAAACACTGCTGCTTTGCTCCAAATCCCACATCATTTTTGTTTTTTATTGTTATGTGGTATGTATGTGGATGTTATTAATACACATACAATTTTGTCCTCTGTTTGCTCCCTTTACATTCATATTTACAGATACTGGCCCACTTTGCCTTCTTGTCACTTACAGCTACCGCTTGTGGCACTTTATTACTTTGGCAAAAGTAAAGTCCTTTAAGTATTGTATAAGTGATTTTCATATTTGCTTCATGCAGAGTTTACAGTGAACATAGGGATGTTTACTTAATGTCATTTGATTTGGAAATAGAAAATAGGTGGTTTATTCATTCATAAACTTAGATTTTACTCTGGCATAATTTTAGTACTTAAGGGAAAAAAGTGGTTTACATCTGCCACATCTGAAGTTCTTACCCTCATTCTTAAAATTTAAATACAGAGAGCCCTCCCTGGTGGCACAGTACTAAGAAGTTAAGTCACTTTAGCATGAGTTTGATCCCCACCCCGGAGGTCAGACCTCTCCTGACCCGCCCACTGCTCCTCTCAGCAGTGTTCTTATCTATCTGCCGGTTCTGCTCCCCACTCTGTCTCTGGTGAATCCTCTCACCTCCCCTACACCTCTGGCCTGTACCCTAGTTCTATATGAATAAATAAATAAATCTTTAAAAAAAATTTAAATACAGAGATGAAATTATTAACTCTTCTGTAGTGAGTTTATAATCTTATACTATTAGTAAAACATACAGAAATACTTGCAAATACAAGTGTAGTTATACCAAAAAGCACAACTAACAATGCTATTCAGATTTCAGAAACTATTAAATGCCTAACATTTTGTTAGCTACTCTAGAGCATACAAAAACAGAGTAAGCATTAGAATATTTTTATTACTACATGTTTTTGAGGTTCATCCATGTCAACGCATGTGTCAGTGTACCTTTTTATTACTAAATACCATTGTATGGATCAAACACATTTGAATTTCCTCCAGTTGATGGGCAGTTGGGGTATCTCCAGTTCGCACTGAAGAGTAATACTGCTGTGAACATTAATGCGCAATTCCTTATGTGGACATACATTTTCATATCTCATGGGGTTAGACACCTAGCAATAGAATTGCTGGGTTACATGATAAGTTTATATAGAACTTTTTAAAACCTGCATCATTTTACATTCCTACCAGCATTGTGTATGGGTTCCCTTTTATTTACATCCTTGCCAACTCTTGTTACTCTGTTTTTTTTTTTTTTTAAAGATTTATTTATTTGTACATACAGAACTGGGGTACAGGCCAGAGGCTCAAGGGCAGTGAGAGGCTTCACCAGAGACAGAGCGGGGAGCAGAACAGGCAGATGGACGAAGTACACTGCTGAGGGGAGCAGTGGGCGGGTCAGGAGAGGTCTGCCTCGCCATGTGGTCTCCTCCGGGGCAGGCGGGATTTGAACTCATGCGGAAGTGGCTTTAGCTTCTCAGCGCAGTGCTTTAACCCGCTGCGCCACCAGGGAGGGCCTGTTTTTTTTTTTTTTTTTTAAAGATTTATTTATTTATGCATACAAACGGGTACAGACCAGAGGTGCAGGGGCAATGAGAGGCTTCACCAGAGAGAGAGCAGGGAGCAGAACAGGCTGATCGATGAAGTACACTGCTGAGGGGAGCAGCCCGTGGATCAGGAGAGGTCTGCCGCACCATGTGGGTCACCTCCTTGGCCGGGAATCGAACTCTTGCAAAAGTGTCTTTAGCTTGGTATGTTGTGCTTTAACCCACTGCGCCTTTAGGGAGGGCCCAAATTTAGGAATTTCTAGGTGAGATAGAGTACACATTTTCACTTAAGATTGGACCAGAATCTGAGTCCATTGTTTTCTTGTTCTGGAATCTATTAAACATTATCATAAAAAAATCTCATTAAAAAAATAAATTATACCTGTGCATGCTTCCACACCATTGTGCACTGCGTGTGTTGATATTCTGTCACCCAATGGAGAGTCAGCAGTGTTTGCAGTGATACCTTACTCTTCTTTGGTTTTCCTTTGACTCACCTTTGAAGAAATGAGGAATGTGCAGATGTTCTTTCTTGGCACTTATCTTCAGTCTCCCATAAACTGTAGGTGAAGTTTTCATTCAAATTATATCACCTAAAAATTCTGTTACTCATCATAGTTACAAGTATTTACTTAGAGAAGGGAGGTGAAAAGTAATTCTGTGAGGTAATCACAGACTTTTACTCTGTGAAATCTGGGCCTGTTTAGAACAAGGCTGTGTTGTCGGACTCCTGCTTGAGATGTTTCAAAATTTCCTCAGAAATAGTACTTTAAAAAACTGTTTCTTAACAAAATATATACAAGGCCTATATTTGGGGCCATAGGTTAAATTTTCTAATATCTAGTGGGAAATGTTTGTGCTCTTCTTTTGTGTTTTTTGATGATTTCTTTTGTCATACTGAACATGATTTAGTAAGGTAAATTAGAAGTAGATTATCATTTGAATGATTTGAGGGGTCAAATGTTTCCCAAGTTGTATGTGGTTTTGTGTACATGAAATGCCTGCTTCCATTTGTCAAGGAATGTTCATTGAGCATCTTCTGTGTGCTAGACCATAGAGATTACCGGACAGACAAAGGCCTATTCTTATGATTCTTTTGAGCAGGGGAGGGGAGGTTAGAAAGTAATCACATAAGGAAGTGGTCAGTTTTGATATCAACAACTGTTGTGAAGAAAATGAAATAGGATGTTGCATGTTTCCAACTGTGTGACACAGAAAACTCTACTTCATCTGGTTAAAATAGCAAGGAAATACATTGTCTGGGAGGTAGCTGGGAACTAGGCAAGATCAGATACACAGAATCTTTAGATTTGGAGAATTTCATCAGGATCTGTTACCTTTGTCTCTCCTCTCTGCTAACCTCATTAACCATTTTCTCCTAAGATTAAATGTTCCTCTCCAAATGCCAGTTGCTTCCAAAGTGGACCTAACTTCTTGAGGGAGGGGGGTTGTCTTTTTTCTTTCCCTCTCTTAGAAACTAAGGAACTATTTTCACCTGTTACTTAAATTGAACAAAAACTGGGTGGGGAGTGTAGTTACTTTGGTGATGTAGATTAGTGGTAGAGGTAGGAGCGACAGTGCCTACCATAGAGCATGGCGGCAGGGACTTAGACACCACTTGCCAGAACGATAATACCTGAGTGTCAGTAGATTCTTTGTCATTCAGTAACAAACAAAAAGACAATAATGATTAGAGTAGATGACAGTGGAACTTAGAGAGTAATGTAAGGATTAGTATATTTGTCTTTTCATCTAGTTAAGAGTTTCAGCATAGTCAAAGCTGCTGTATTATACCTTTATGATCTTTCCCCTCAAGTATCTTTATGTGCTAAACAATAAGTAGAATTAGAATCACAGAATTTAATTGAAGTGGATCTTAGGGTTTGTTCTCTAAAACCTGTTCACTTTTTGCTATAGGATAAAGTTCAGAATGATTAAAGTTACTGGTTTGTGCTAGACTTCAAAAGTAGTGATTAAAGGTCTTTGAGATGAAAATGTTTCTGTCCACACATATACCCATAAGCCTTAATGATTTGGGTGATTTCATTTCGTTTCTCAAAAAAAGGTAGAGGTGAGGCAGAAGTAAAAGTGGTTTTAGTTCAGCCTGGGGTGTATAATGGACATTCAGCAACTGTTTCTTGACCAAATGCTTCATTGCTAGAGTACCCATGTACAAGACAATGTTAATGTTATAAATTATGTTAAATAAAGCAGCTGCATTTTAAATTGACCCTTATTTTCCTTTTCATTCTTCCATCCAACCAGAATTAGTGGAGCTCTGCCAGTTAGGCATTATGGGATACAGAAGAGGAAGATGTCATTTCTGTGCTCAGGGAGCTCAGGAGTCACGTAGGAAGAACTAGGTAGAATGTTGATTATGTCAGTGGATTTGCAGGAGGTACCTATGTGTGTGCAGGGTGAGACATGGGCACCAACAGGAAAAGCAGCCAGGACAGGTTCCAGCAGCATCTTGAAGAATGCATGGGGATTAGCCCAGGGAACAAGGGATTGGGGACACAGAGAGGACAGAGCAGCAAAGGCATCGAGGTAGGAAATTGATTGTGTTTATGTGCGTGTGTGTGTGTGTGTGTAGCTACAAAAAGTTCCTTCTTGATGTATTTTAAGGCTGTGAAGGAGGAGAGACAAGCCTGGACAGGAAAGCACGGGTGGGACCTAGAAGGCTTGCATGCCTGGCTTCCTAGTGCCACTGTCGGGTCTGTGCAGTCAGTTTAGAGGCAGGGAAAAAAATGAGAGGTTGGTGTAGTGGTGTTGGTAGCCCCGCTGGCACAAGGGCAGAGAGATGCTGAGGAGGTGAGGAGTGACTCAAACTCTGTCAGAGTTTAATTCTGCAGGCTTTGGTGAATAATGAAATTGGAGAGGTGGTGAAGAAGAGGGAAAAGGCCAGGGTGACTCTCAGAGGAAGTTTTCAGTGACATATGTACAGGTATCTAGTGCAGTTTCGAGTTTTGCATGATCAAAGTATAGACATATAGTACTCTGGAAAGAGACCGTGAAAAGGTAAATATGATACAAGCTGTACTCTGTGGTATCATGGCTGTCTTTTTTTTAAGATTTATTTATTCGTACAGAACTGGGGTACAGGCCGGAGATGCGGAGGGTGAGAGGATTCACCAGAGACAGAGTGGGGAGCAGAACAGGCAGATCGACGAAGTGTGCAGTGCTTTAACTTGCTGCACCACCAGGGAGGGCCCACATGGCTGTCTTTTAAAGTATGTAATCAAAAATAAATTTCACAAAACTACAGTTTAGGGCCCTCCCTGGTGATGCAGCGAGTTAAAGCACAGCCTGGGAAACTAAAGCCACTTCAGCATGAGTTCGATCCCCATCTGCCTGGGAGGTGACCTACATGGCACGGCAGACCTCTCCTGACCAGCCTGCTGCTCGCCTCAGCAGTGTGCTTTATTGATCTGCCTGTTCTGCTCCCTACTCTGTCTTGGTGAATCCTCTCACCATGCCTGCACCTCTGGCCTGTTCTGTATGCATAAAAAAAAAAAAAAACACTACAGTTTAAAGATTTCCTCCATGAACAGAGCAAAGGGCAAGAACTAAGGTAATATGTAACAAACTAGAATTAGGTATAAATAACTTTTGCAACTCTCTTCAATGTGTATTTTGATTCCTAGTAGGTAACTGCAATTTTTAAACTGTTAATGCATTCTCTGACAAGCTCTTTGTTTTTGTGTCTATTTTTGTAAATTGTCTTGAAAAGTAAACACTAAAACAAGTCTAAGGTATATGATCAAGTAGATGATTGCAATTGAATTTGTTGATGTGATTTTCTGGGGGAGAGAAATAACATATTAAAAATGACACAAGGAATCTATAAATTAGCAAAGTTCATCTTACAGTAATAGCTTAGAATTATTATATAAAATTTTTTTTTGGCAGAGGACTAATTGTTTTCCAGCCATATAGATATGGTTCTATATGTATACGTATATGCATGTTTGACATGTTTTTGTCTAGGCTAAGTCATGCCTAAATCCTAAGGGCACTCTGATAGCTGGGTACGTAGCTTCATGCTGGTACCATAGGGCTTGGATGTTGCAGGGAACCTTTTGATGAATCAGAAATGTGGCCTCCTAAAGTCCAAGTGCAAATCACCAGTATCTTAACTTTTGTCCCAAAAGAGCTTCAGTGATACAAATCCTGTCTATCTGCAAGACCCAGAGAGAGTAGGATAGGAGGTGCTTCAGATGCACTGAAGAATTATTTTTCCATAGTCCCCTGCCACTCCTTTTTTCCAAGGGGGAAGATAGTCTGTAGCAGCAGATATATACGTACTATACGTACCTCTTGTCTTCCTGTTACAAAGCAGTAGTAACTCTGCCTATTATCACAGCAGCAGCACCTCTGCCTTATTAACGTCTCCCTTGTAATACCTATGGGATCTCTCTCCCTCCTCCCAGAAACTGCAGGGTATTGCTAGAGATATTTTAGCTCTTAGAAGAAAACTTCCTTTGAGTTCTTATCAGAGATTACCACCAGTTCTCTCCTCCCAGGATTTGTGTTTATAAAGGAATTTGGTGTAATTATGGATTCCCATAGGCATTTGTGCTAGTTTGCAGCCACAGATAGTCCTATGTATCTAAAAAAATAAAATGAACTTTCAAGAACTCTTGTTACCATTGTGTCATGTTTCTGACTGGGGATGCTAGATGACAGATAGTGGCTCATTTTTTCCCCTTTTATCTCTAAAACCTAATACTGGAACCAGACTTTTTGCTAAGGGTTTTTCCCTATAGCATGTAACATTTTTTTTTTTTTTGAATGCCCTTTTAGTTTTTCATTGAAGTTTTGTTTCCCTACCATTTGGCTGCTTATATGTCCCTATATCTCAGGTAATTTTATGGTTGTCCGAACATGTGCTCAGTTCTACTTCTTACTCTCCCAAACCCCTCTTTGTCTTTTAGGTGAGATGAGTGAGAGCCGTGCAAAGAGAGTTAGAATAAAAGAGGTAGATGGCTGGACCCTGAGGATGCTAATTGATTATGTTTACACCGCAGAAATTCAGGTTACAGAAGAAAATGTACAGGTAAGAGTAAACACCTCACAGTTCTTTATACATGCCAGCTTTTTAATCAAAAGAACCTGCCCACACAGTGTACATTTTGTACCAGGTAATGCAATTTGTTTGTTGAAGCAGTATTTCTAAGAGGCATTTAGAATGATAACATCTTTTAAATAATACTTTTGATTTCAGTATCTTTTGTATTTTTGTTGTTGTTAAGAGGAAAAAGTAAAAAAATTGTAACATGTATCTCCTGTTCTTTTGTATTCAACTCCTTTAGTTCTCTGAGTGATGTCTGTTCTTTGGTGAAAACACTGTCATATTCATTTATAACTGCTAAGTGATGCTGCCCCCAGATCCACAGCATATCTTTATTCCTTTGAAGGTTAAAGTTTCCAGAGGATGTTTTTGACTGTCAGCAGACTTGACTTTAGCTTCCTCTATAAGTGATTCCAGAGTTTGGCTAAAACTTGACACTACCATCTCTCTTACTGTCTATGAAGAACAGATGTTTTATGTGTGGTGTAAATGTTTAATACAAACATACGTGGAGTAAAGAGTAAAAGTCCCTCTTTGAAACTGCCCTTCCCTTTATGCCCACCCTACCATGTACATCTTCAGCCAACTTCCCTTTCCCACAGAGGGCAGCCACTCTTTTCTGTTTGATGTGACCCCTTCGGACCCTTCTCTGTGCACTCACATGCACGCGCATGCATACACACACACAATTAAATGATGTTTTTGCTGGATAATATTTGCTTATTAAGGAACAGAGATGCACATTGTTAAAACAGAAAAATGTGTCCCTGTTCATCTATGCAGATTGCTTTATTTTAAATGAACAAAGTGCTTGGAATCTTTATACATGGTACAAATACGCTAATGTTAGTATATGTGACTTTATACCTTTCTAAAAATTCTGCAGTAAATGAACATATTTCTATAAAAGTTAATGGAATCAGTGTTTCAAAAGGTAACTGGTAGGTCCAGAGTACACACACATTTTTCTTTTTGATAGACATGTTAAATTGTCATTTAAAGTTTGTATTTACTTTTGTTTATTTTTGAAAACAAAGCAAGAACTAGAACTGACTCATTAAATAAGATATAACATGTCCGTGCTCAAATAAAATATCATGGGTTTAGACTTTTGTCTCGTGTAATTATAATAGTTGAAATATGCTATGGAATATTTTAATTTGGAGACATGTTATTGATTGTTAGTTTTGAAATAATCTTAAGGACTCCAGTGACCTCATTAGCCTTTGTTTGGAAGTTCCATTCATGAAGGAAGGCATTTGAAAACCCTTGGTTGATACTGGGCTTGTGTATAAAAATGTGAATCAGATTCTAGGTGAGCATTTTTTACTGTGAACGAGAGTGGTGCGTGTCATGAGATGTACCTGCCTGTCATCTCATTCTGCTTTTTTCTGTGCAGGTAGGCTATTTCCTGGATTCTGTGGCATTATTTTCAACAAGATCTTACTTTGGGTTTCTTTTACCATTTTTTCATTTTAGTACATGGGCTTCTTTGTGTGCTGTAACTGACCTTCAGTAAATGAATTACTGATTGGTTTTTTGATTCTCATAGTAGGTCACATGGGGGAAATTGCAAAAGATGATATAAGTTTAATAGAGTAGACTGTGAATTCAGCCTTGACTGCTGTTGGTAGTAATTTTTGGGGTAGAGACATTGGCCTGTGAGGAACAGGGAGAATGCCTGTCAGGTTTTTTATAATAACAATCACACTCCAGTCCTGAGATATTAGTCATCACAGCCTTTCAGAAAACCTCTTGTCGAGCTCATTTACTGTTTCTGTCTATTGCTCAGCTTTCATAGGAAGGCAAAGCGTTGTTTTTGGCACGCTTATTAATGCTTACCATTTTACATATGTTCTTGTTATTTTGCAAGAGGATTTCTCTTTACATAGAGGTGTCTTGGTATGTAAAATCTTATTTTATATTCCATCGAAAAATACTCTTTTGGAAGAGGCAGTTTAGAGATAAAATTGACTAAAATAAGCTTCCTTTTTCATAACAGATATTTTTCAATGAAATACAAAATAAGGATTTGCCTGTCAAGATACATAAAATTTCCTGCTTCTGTTTTGTGTGTTTTTGTGAACCTATACTTTTTAAATCTTCTGAAAATGAGTGGTAGAGTAGAAGTATCTGGTATTTTGTTAATGTTGAATTAAAATTTTCAATGGTTCTAGCTAGAAACCCTGCTCTGAGTGCATCTGCCTTGAAGACGCTGACATTGGAGCCAAAGCTCTCTAATCCAGATGGGTATTGCTGTGGGTCTATTTTCTCATTAGACCTAGAATCAAATCTCTTGTCAGGGGGACATCCTTTTATAATTGTTCTAATAATAAAGGACAGTTATTAATCTTTTATTCCTTTTTGCCATTTAACTGTACAATTATGCTTTGTTGGAAAACAGATATGGTCAGCTGATGGGAGAGCCATGCTGCTCTGGTGCATATATCACCCAGAATGATGCATCACCTATGCTTTTCCAGTTTTTGTTAAGTACTGCAAGAACTTTTCCAGTTTTTGTTAAGTACTGCAAGACAGTTGAGAAGAAATCTCGGTACACTTATCATCAAATTATGTAATTTCTCTTTCATTCTTCTCACGTCTAATTTGATAAAAAAAAAATCCGCACAAAGCAACATACTGATCAGCTCATTCTAGAGCAGTCAACTTAGATTTTATAGAAACAGCTCTCTTTTCACTCTCACATTTCATTGGATTACATTTATTTACTTAAACTATGTAATTTCAGTAACAAGTACAAATGTCATGATTTGTACATTTGAACAGATTTAGATCTGACATGTATGAATTGATAAAATGCAGCTAAGCAGGAGGGGCAGAAGTGTCCAAGTTCAGATGAACTTTGAAAAACGTGGGTTTGAATTGTACAGGGACACTTAAGAAATGTGATTTCTCCCCCGCCCCCGAACAAATATGTAAATGTTCCTTGAACACGGAGCACTCAAAAATACTGTAAATGCATTTTCTCTTTCTTAAGATTTTCTTAATATAGTTTTCCCAGCTTTAAAAGAATATAACAACAATAGGTATAATATTAAAAAATGTTATGGTATCAGTAAGGCTTCTAGTCAACAACAGGCTATTGGTAATTAAGTTTTTAGAGTGAAACATGGATTTTCAACTGTAGAGCGTGTGGTGTTGGCACCAGCAGCGCCCAAGATATTCAAGGGGCAACTGTTTTAGTACAGAGGCCATGAGAAGAGTTGGTTAATCATGTGAGTGGGTGGAGGGAGATTGGTAAATGGTGGTTTTGCTGTATATATTTCTGCATTGTGTAGATTAACATTGAAATGAGATTCCAATTGGGTGGGTATTTGTTTAAAAAATGGATATTGAAGCTACTCTGTCAGTTAAACAGACATCGATGGAGTACCTGCTAAGTACATGGCTCTGTGCCAGGTTCTGATGCTGAAAAATGAACAAAGCAGAATAAATGAAATGTAGACTTTGCCTGGATTTGAATCTTGCCTTGCCAGCTTAATACCATGTGATTTTGTCTAAGTTTCTGAACTTCTCTGACTCTCATTTTCTTATCTGTAAAAGAGTAATGATTCTTTTCTTTCTTATACAATACAGGTTTATGTAAAGATGGGATATGCTAGGACCTCACTAAAGGTCTTACTGAGATTGAGCCTTGAGCCAGAAAATAGAGGCGCCCATCTGGGAGAACAGGCACTCAAATGGCTTTTAAACTGAGGTTACATGCTGTCAAAGATGAGGGACAAATTCATGTCTATATGAGGCGCTGCTTTAGTGCGTAGCAGGAGGAGTCTCGTGGTGGTGGTGCTTGCTGTTAGGCCTATAGTGTTGCAGGTCTACAGCTGCTTTGTTCTAGCTTGTCTGGAAAGAATTTTGGTAAAGTCTTTGCAATTGTAATAACCACAGCCCAAGTAAATTTGAGGTTGTTGAGTCTGTATCCCCTTGAGAAAACTAGACAGAAAACCTACAGGATCTGGGGCCATGCTTAGTCCGTTGTTCCTGTACAGTTCACACTATGGCTTGATAAGCATGTACATATTTGGGGGAACACACAGCATTTTAGGGCAACACAAACCATAGATACCTATTAGGTTCCTAATAAATAAACTTTGTGTGCTTGATCAGGATTAGTTTAGGACTGAATTGGACTGAACTTGAAAGTCCAAGACTTTTAAAATCTACAGTTAGACCAGGAAAGAATTAATATCATTCTGCTTTTGTGTGTGACGTGTTCTTGCCTACTTCTAAGCTGTTGAGCTTGCCCATTTTCCCACTTCTAGTATTGATCCTGATGAATTCTAATTTTCAATAATAGTTCTTTAAAGATTTGTAAAGCATCTATTATGTGCCAGGTGGTGTTTCAGTCATTGTGATGTAATGTTGAGCATGAAATTCAAGTCCGGGTGACTATAGTCCATTATCAGCCACACATTCAGAAGTTGCCCAAGTACCAAAGGAACTCACTAGAAGGCTTATTATCTTCAAGATGAGCAAAAAACATCTACAGAGCAATTTTATCATTTAAATTAAGTGTAGAGTGCTGCATATTTAAATTACTGCTGAACAACTCAGAAAATAATAAGGACTTAGACTGGCTCTTTGCTAGAAAACTTCATAGACCAATAGACACTGACTAATTATTGTATTAGAATTTAGAGCTCAAATCTTGAATTTACCATTAACTTCAAGAATGGCCGTAAGACACTTACCCTGCTGTCTGGTTTTGTTTGTTTGTTTGTTTGTTTTTTAGTTGTTAAATAAGGTTAGTGCTTGACATCTCATAGAAATACCAAAGTCCTCTGTGAATGTTAAGCAGAAATAAGAAATGGAGCAGTAGTAAAAAGACTAAGTCATGAGGAAGAGAAGAACTTACTGAAATTGCTTGGAAACACTGGGTAAAATTTAATTCATACAACCTTTTTCTCATTTTTTATATTTTTTGAATCAGGATCTGTAATTGTGACCCTCACCTCTGAACCCAACAC